TCCTGATATTCGTACATGACATTGAAGCTTTGCCAGCGAAATATTTAAAATCTCTGATCGTAAAATGTTCCCTAGCACGTCCTGTTGTTTGAAGTTTTTTATTCTCACGACGGCCTGTGGCCAATGTTGTTGTTGTTGTTGTCGTTGTGTCGGCGTCATTGTTGTTGTTGTTATACTCACTGTTCTTGGCACAACCTCTACCTGGGCCAGTTGTGGGTGCTTTAGCGGTCATGAAGATTTCTTCAGATTCCCCCCCCCCCCCCCCACACACACACACATACACACGTGTTGCTTTTTCTGTGTGCTTGTCTGTTTTCTCATTGCACCTGTCGTTGTCCTCCGACGTACCACACAGGTCCTCCAGGACATTTTCCTGCGCTCAGACGGAACATTTCCAAAGTTGGAGGATGTGAGTACACATGTATGCATTTTGCTGTGCCCCTTGACGGACTCAGCTTTATCCTTGTTCTGTAGCGATGTAGATCATTGTGAATTTGGTGTCTCTAGATGCTGGACTTTGTTCATGGCATGTACTCGTCATGTCTTCATACCGACATGGAAAGGAGTATGTAAGATTGAGGCAAATGGTGGGGAAGCTGCACTTTTATCGGCATGCAGAAACTCCCAGTGAAGAAACAGCTCTGATCACGTTTCTCTGTTCTCTCTCTCTCTCTCTCTCTCTCTCTCTCTCTCTTTCTCCATGTCTCTCTCTCTCTCTTTCTCTCCATCTCTCTCTCTCTCTCTCTCTCTCTCTCTCCTCTCTCTCTCTCTCTCTCTCTCTCTCTCTCTCTCTGTGTCACTTCCCCTAATCAATCTCCTTTTTTTCTAGTGACTGCCAAACTTCACTGCATGGTTTGTATATGTGTGTGTTTGCATTTAGTTGAAAGATAATATGTTCTTCAATGGCGGCGTGGATCTTTCCGAAATGAATCGCACCAACACCCACCGGTCAGTGAACACAGTGCATCCCTTAGTTCATCCTCTTGCAATCGGTTTTCGTTGTTGTCTGGGGTGCGATTAATGTCTGAACAGTGTGTGCATATCAACTGCTTTCTGCGTGAGGCGCTAGGCATGCGGACAGCGGAAGGTCAGAAATCCAACCAACATAATTATAATTTTTATAACTTTTCGAAACTTTAAAAAAATCCAACCAACTAATTTCCGGACCGAGCGTACAGTAGTGGTCCCCGTTCCCAGGTGGTTTGATGTATCTTCAACTATCTTGTATGAATGCACATAACCCTGGGGGGGGGGGGGGGAGGGGGGGCTTTCTAGGACTAATGAAAAGGGGTCTAATGTACTTAATTTATTTGTGCATACGGGGAGGGAGAGAGGGGGGGGGGGGGAGCTCTGCGGGACAAGGAAAAAGTGGTCATATGTCTGCGCTGGTCGGAGACTGAGCTTCCTCTGGTCAGCACTGCACTGTGTAGTAGTTCAGTTGTCTTATGTTGCCACACGTGCACACACACACACACACACACACACATACACATTTGACCTTTATTCTGTTGACGCCCCATCTCCAGTGGAGATGATAGGCTACTGAGTTGGGCAGTACTTGAGGTGACGCTTCAAATCGCCAATTCTCCTAAACGTTCTGCCGCATGCGCAGCGGAATTCCCAGCACACACACACACACACATACACACACACACACACACACACACACACACACACACACACACACATACACTCACTCACTCACTCACACACACACCATGTACCATGTACCATATATACGCCCGTCACAAGAGAAGCACGCAGATCTGCAAATGCACTGGATGTGCACGCACAGATTTTCTCTTTAGAGCAACGATAGCGGATCTGATTGTGATTGAAACAGATCAAGACAAGCGCCAGGTAACTGTCTAATCCACACAACTGGCGAAGCCATATGAATCCCCCCCCCCGGGCACACCTGGTCTACACCACACGAAGTACATCGGAATAGGACGACCAAGACAGCTACTTATGCACACCCTACACTTGCTAGGGTAACCAGTATAGACAGCACGTTGCTTTGATAAAAGCAGACACTAGATGCACTGGTACCTTGAAGTGAAATTGGAGTTATTTTACCAACCAGCCTCGGCAACTGGGTACTGGGAACCCAGGGCCAACAGACGTACCAACAACCTCAGCCATGAAAGCTATATAGTATCGACACACTGGATTGTGGAGCCGAAACTAGTCCAACTTCCAAAATGCTTTGGCAAGAGGGCAGCCTTCCGACAGGTTGGGGACACACACACACACACGCACACACACACACGCAAACAGCAGGCCTCTGCACTCCCTTATGTCGCACATGCACGCCAACTGTCCTCTGCCTTCTCCTGTACTCTCCAGGCTCTGACATCTCAGATGAAATCACTGCTGAAACTAGTGAGGAAAGGAACGTTATCGCCAACGGCTTCTGGAACAAGTACATCAGCAAGGTAAGCCTAAGGATATGGTAGACAAGTACACTGACCTCGCATACGAAGTTGTCTGGCTGAGAAGTACCAAGTTCACTTCCCTTGTAGGTGCGTTATGCATGGCGAAACTTCAGTACGTTTTGCTGGCATTTCGCTGAGCTGGCTCGGTGGACGATGTGCAAAGTCTACGGTTTGTGATCCTGTCTGACCCGATTGTTAGCCGCTGGAAGTGTTGTGAAGCTTGTGCTCCGTGTGCGTGCATATGTGTGCGTCTGTGCGCGCGCGCGTGTGTGGGTGTGGGTGTGTGCGTGTGTACATGCATGCATGTGTGTTGCAGCTCAAAGTCGAGCAAAAAGCGTGGCTCAACATCAGGTGCCTCGAAGTCAAGGTAAAGCTACTTTGAGGATATTTATTTTGTACAACTTGGTCCCTTACACGTAGTAGTCAACAAGTTTATTCTTGGTGTGAGAGAAATGATTAATTTGGAAGGGCTTTGGCAGCGGAGCAGCAGAGCAAGGCTTTTGAATGTAATCATCAGTTCTATAAGGAGGCATGTTGCCGTAGAGTCTTCGCTGGGTTGGTTGGTTTCACGACTCTTGATTATGCAACTATCCAACAAGAAACTCTCTGTGGCAGTGGCAACTGAAAGCCTCTGCCTGTTGTTGTGTGTGTTTTGCATGTAAGCACACTCTTCGCCAAAGCCTTTGCTTTTGTATGACTTGTTTTTTTAAGGGTCAGTGTTAATGGGAGAGAGTAAGAGTTTTCCGCTTTCTGTCCTTCGTCCTCTGTGTGTGCTCTGTCTGCAGCCGGCCATCGAGTCGAGCCAACGCCAGTAGCGTATCGCCGCGGCCAAACACCACACCCTCGCCAGCCAATCCACCTCCGCCGCCGCCGCCACCGTCAGCTGCTCCCCCACCGCCTGCTGCAGCAGCCGCCGTACGTCCACCTCCATCCTCAGCCGGCCGCGGTGCGTTACTGGGCCAGATACACACGGGCGCACGGTTGAAGAAGACGGTCACGAACGATCGTAGTGCGCCGAAAGTCTGATCGTCGCTTTCGTCGCTCTCCGGTTGCCAGTGTCCGAATGCAGTGCTCTGTGTTGGCCATCGGACTGCGCTGGCATGATATGTTGGAGAGGTGGGTGTGTACGTGTGTGTGTGCGTGTGTGTGTGTGTGTGTGCATGCATGTATGCGTATGCACCGCGTATGCCTGCGTCTGAGTGTGCGTCCGCATACAAGTGTAACGTTATTTTTGCTTTCGAATTCGCCAGTTTGACGGTGGCAGCCGCATTGTTCCATACTGGTGGTGGCCAGGCTGTGTCTCATCGGTCCAATGCATGATCATACCCCGTGGCAATGCCCTGCCATCTAACCAGGGTCTCTGTGAGAAAACTGCATTTCTTGCAGTGAGGTCTCACCACCACCACAACGCTCCATATCTGATGTTGTCATCTCTGCTGCCCTGTGTGCACCCCCCCCCCCCCCCCCAACCACCTCTGTTTCAGCTGGCCTGATCCACACACATTCTCTATCTAGGAAAATAATATGTTGCTCTATTCCACTACAGTGTCCTCTCTTTTTTAATTTAAATTCTATGAACAAAACCAGAGACCGACTGTGGACCTGAATCGAACCGTATAGTTTATAGTTGTAGGCAAAATATTATTTCATGGTTAGCCTAGTCTTGATTCGCTGATACCGGCAATGGTTATTGTCGGTGTATTGATCCATAGTTTGCTTGCTGTTCAACTTGTGAAAATATGACCCTATTTTGGAGATCTGTTATTTTCATGCTGGTCTCATGACCCACGGCTACTGGCCTGATTGTTATTTGTGCGCTTTTCGTGATTCCATCTGCAGCTAGCTGCCTATAGCTGTGCTATTTAAATGTTGCTAGTGTTGTGATTATTCGTCTCGACTGGCATGCTCGTGCTCTGACTGTGTGTGTGTGTGTGTGTGTGTCGTGACTCGACTGTGCGTGGTCGTGTGTGGGACATGCGACAGTGGAGGTGATCTGAGAAATGAAGAATAAAGTTATTGTCTTTATTCAAATAATATCATTGGTGTCTCCACGTCAATTTCTAGATGCACATAGTGTGTGGGTTCTATCAAGAGTCGGTAACCATGGTAACCACTGGGGATTATGTACTACGTCCTGCCCCCCCCCCCCCCCCCCGTGAATTCCGTGGCAGAATATCAGAAATTCCGTGCAGAATTCTGCGGCTGAAAACAGTAAATTCTGCAAATCCTTCTATACATGTATTCTGCGGAAACTCTGCAAGGAAAATGAGCGAAAAATAGATCGAATTTCTGCAACCCCACTGAAGTTTGTTGTCCCTACAAATTCTGAACCAAAATTATGCGAAATCCTGGTCAAAGAAATTGAAAGCTCCAAATAATTATTATTAGTATACCGCAAAAAAGTTGATTTTGAAAGTCACAAGCCGGTTGGTTTGGCTGTGAAATTACATCGAAAGTCTCCAGAAAAAGCAGTTTTTTCTCTCTTTTCTGCAATATTCCGCGGGATTTTCTGAATTCTGCGGACACTACTGGATTCTGCGGAAATTCTGCAATCCGCGGAATTCACGGGGGGCAGTGTAACGTCATAGTGAGACGTGTAGTATACTGTACAAGTCATGTTCAAATGAGATTTTGTCGTCGTTCACGTGTACAGACTAGACTCGTGATCAAGAGTCTTATCTGTGTCTGTACATTAGTACTGTTGTTGTTGAATTGTCGTTGAATTTTGATTTATTTTAAAAAGTCGCAACACAAACAGGCGATGGCGCCTTCTTTTAATAGTTTTATACATGCGAGCGACATGACGAATTTAATAATAATAGTAATTTTAAAATGCATGGGGAGCGGATGAGAAAAATCACAAGAAAGAAGTCACCGAAGGTAACTGAATATGTTACAGATAGATCTGCGGGTAGTAGGCCCAGCCAGATTCTGCTCCGCTCGCCTTGATATGTTGCTGCGAAATCTTTGATATTTTGCCCAGCCTGACACTAGAAACCCCGATGTTTTGGTCCAGAAAACGTGTATTTCATCCATTTCCCGTACGTTTCATAAAAATCGCACGGTCGGTTTCTCAACACGGGTTTTCACACACGTGTCCCTGGGTTCTTCAAAATCCTGTTGATCCACAGTGAATCCCAGTGATATTTCGGTGACATAACTCAATGATCTCGTCCTTTGCAGTGTATCATGCTGAACGGGTAAGAAACAAGGAAATTAATGTCAGGGATCGATTTAACCCCAAATCTCGATACTTTGCTCCGATTTTGCCGGCAATTTCCTCTTTTTAAAATTCTTCGACATTTTGCCGAAAACCGGCAGGATCTGGCTGGGCATGCATGGGCCTTTGTAGTTTGTACTAAGGCCATGGTAAAAAATAAAGTTGATTCTCAGGTCATGAGCCTGTGAAAATCGGTGCGAGCGAGCGATTTTTTATTTTATTTCCCGCAATTTTTTTATTTCCGAAGATAGGGTCACACATATGTACGTCACAGGTTCATATAATAGACCGATCCCCTTATTATTGTCTGGGTTCGAGCAAGGGGGCAACTCCGCAGTCGCGTGGGATCCTGTTGCACACACGCGACGAACCTCACCTCGGCTGTGCGCGACTTCTCGCATGCGAAGTGCAGAGCACGCGAAATCTACATGCAGTGCAAGTCTGTCTACAAAAAATGTCACAAGGACTTTTGATTTGAGCTGTTTTGTTTTTGTTTAGACGTCTTCCTTTTTACGACTTCAGGATGCCTTCTCAGGATCATTGCTGCGTTCCTCACTGTCAGAACAGGAGGACGAAGCAAACAAGTCATTTCACTCCTTTCCTCGTGTGGAGCCACAGCGGCCTGGAGCGAGCGGATCCAGGCTATGCCCCGTGAGGAAGGACGCAGTTTTAGGGTCACTCTGAATATTTGAGTTGCAGCGATCATTTCGATCTCAAAATCGAAATCGTTTTGCCCAGCTCTACAAGGCCAGGATGAGTCCAGGAACCCAAATAGCTGTCCTACGGTACCAGGTTTGCTTTTCGCAAGAGAGTGGAGTCTGGACGCCCTGCTCCCCATGCTCGCAAAACAGTATTTGCTGAGCCTAGTGCAGTTCGGTCATGGAAGTGCAGCGTCTGCATCACGAGCTCCCCATGCTCCCAAACCAGTATTTTGCTGAGAGGCAACGGTACTTTGAGTTGGAAAGGAACCTGGCTTAGTGCAGTTTGGTCCTGTAATGGAAGTGCAGCATCTGCATCAGGAGCTGGCAGCAAGTAGAGCTCGTGTACAGAGTCTCGTGGAGCAGTTGGACGATGTCAGGACTGGGGTGAAGAAAGCCGAAAAACAGCTTACGTACAATAACATAAAGAAAGACTCTGAGCCGCTCCAGTTTCTGACTGGTTTGCCTTCAGGTGTTTGGACCGCTCTGTGGGACTTCTTTGAGCCTAGCCGAGAAAATGTACTGCACCGCGCCAGATCTGCGAAGACGGAAGCTGAGGGACGGCGGATACAGTTGGAGGTGGCTGTAAATCGCCAATGAGCATGTAATGGAGGATCAGCTGCTATTGGCATTGATGTGTCTAAGCCTGGGCCGAATGGAACAGAAGCTGGCATGCGTGGCACAAGTTAATCATCCGTTTCACGTTATATAGCTAGCTGAGCTGGAGAGATGTCTTGTTCCTCCGTTAGGGCATGATCCCCATTTGGGCGAGCTGGCGAGATGTTCAGTCATCAATGCCATGTACCGCAAGACATTTTGCATTGTGGATGAAACAGTTCTATGGGTTCTCGCACCGGCACGGCACAAGACCCAACAGATCCTTGCGCTCTTATTTTCTCCGATGGTAACATTGCTGATCACAACACCCGGTAGCCAGTCGCAGATGCAACCGAATCAACCAGGTTCTCTTACTCTTTTTTTCCAATACTGAAACCAAGGTATACAGTCAACTTCGCTAATAACGACTGCGGATATAACGACAATTCGCGAATAACGACATAATTTTCATGCCCGGAGCAAAGTCCCATCCAACTGTGACACATATAATGAGACTTCGGATATAACGACACTTCGCGAATAACGACACTTTTCTGATGCCCCGCTGAGTGTCGTTATAAGCGAAGTTGACTGTACCAATATTTGCATCGAATGCAGTGATGATTTCAATACTGTCCACCAGTACAACGCATTACCAGACTGGCATATAATCATGATAATATTATCCATTTCGCAATCACTGTCATTGCTTTCTTAGATCTCAAATCATCAATATCGGACGGGGTAAACCGTCTATCATCTTATATTATATCATCATTAATATCCTGCTACTATCCTCCTCTACCGATGAGCTCGAAGGAACGAAACAGCTGTCTAGAGGCGTAAACAATATCTGTCAACGGAAGTGTCCTTGCTGTGCTGGTGTGTTTATGCTTCGTGCATTAGTTCGGCCAAGAGCGCATGGTGGGGGCGGGTTGAGGATGTAGTACAGCGGAGTATGACCGAACGCTCTGTCACAATGTATTTTATTAGGAAGGTATAGAAACAGAAAAAAACTGTATCTTGATCTTGGGCGTAAACAGCCCGTCTCACATTAAATATACTAGAATTCACTCTGAACATGCAGTCTTCCTAAGAGAGAGAGAGAGAGAGAGAGAGAGAGAGGGGGGGGGGGGGGGTATATTCATAGGTTCGAAAGAACCGCACACACACTTTGCTGCAGACAGCGGCAAGCTTTGGCCCTCGTACTTCGAAGAGGGAGCAATCCACTGCGCTACGCTTGCGATTAACAGCAAGCTTCGACCTTTCAAAGGTACGACTCATCACTGGCTCTGGGGTAATGTTCCTGGAACAAATGCCTCATTGCCGACTGAGGGCCAGGGAGCACGCAATCTGCCTTCCTGGGCGAGAAGTGTTCCAGCACAAGAAGCAGCACGAATACATGCTGACAAAGACCACCATCACCACCAGCCGGCACACAGCACACTGTTCTTCAAACACCATCCACTCCTTCCATGTGTTTGCACTGTCCTCCTCTAGCTCTTCACGCTCAACAAATACCACGCACTGCTCATTGTTTTTTTAATGCTTCCTCTGGGTTGGCTAGCCCTTCGACTTGACAAAACAACGATCACCACTGCTATCGTCACCTCATAGCAGTCGCTTCCACCAGTGGCTTTTCCTGTCTTTGCAAAGGTGTCCAAGGATGGCTGCTGCTGTCACTACAGGCAAATCAGAAGTACTTTAGTGGCTGATGTCCAACCAGATCGTTGGAAAATCGATTTTTCCACTTCAGGGCTGCTGATCGCGATCGCGACTTGGTGACTTGGCAGCACCACGGTTACCTTCATAGAAGATGGCTCTGGAGAGGAAAAGGCAGACCAGAAAAAGGTTACTATTATCTTCAGCACCGATCTCAAGGAGAAAGAAATACGGTCTGCTGTAGCCTAGGCACAAAATAAGTTTCACAACACGATTCGCGATTCGAATATTTCAACAACAAAAAAACTCACCTCTGGAGTAACTCCTGTTTGTGGCCCGAGATCGTTCCCTCCCGCGCCTTGAAAAAATCCTGCAGCTGCATCACAGTCCATGTCTCTCTCGGAGACTCTGCTCCTACCAGCAGGAGGTTCAGCACCGCTCGAAGCCATCGCAAACCACTTGAACTAAGCAGAAGACATTCCAAAACAAACCTGAAACACACTGTCAAAGATGCTGTCACGTTCAAAAACTAGCTCGATCGCGAGTGTTGCCCCCGTGCTCGAACCCAGTATAATAAGGGGATCGGTCTATTGTTTTCATTTATTTTATTATTCAGGCCAGGGAGTAGAAATATACCGGTATTTTACTACTCCCTGATTCATGCCTTTCGCATTGACCGTTTTCATGCGCGCATATGCATGCATAGAAATGAAAAAAATCGTCG